TCAGTAAGCATAATCAATAATATGCCAACACCAGTTCCTAGATCTTATAGAAATGATGCCAAACATTATCAGTTGCCAGAGTATCACAGTGTTCATCCATTTTGGTAAAACATATAAATAATCTGACTGAGAAGAGTTGGAGATTTTATTTTGGAAAGTCATGTAAACTTAATGAGGGACATATAAAGTGATCTATGACAGCATTTTGCCCTATGGCAAAACACAAAGATTAGTAAGAAAGAAAAAAAAAAAAAAAGTACGTGGATTACAAAGTGATCAAGTAACAGAAGCTGTGCAGCTGAAAACACGCAAGTTTAAGTTGGATACAGAATATCCAGCCCATAGGGAAGACATATCAGTGGTTAGAGGTCAAGATTTAATGCTGGAAAACAGTTCACAGGCAATTGTTTTAACATAAAATTTACCTTAAATGGAGAGTAACAATCCTAATGTGGATATAGAGACCTTTAGCATGATTGCTCTTTTACAAGCATGGCCTTTTGCAGTGAACATTTGGGTGCAGACCATACGCTACAAGAATCTTGATACCACATAACTAGATCTACCAAAAAAGGACACAGTACTTTTGCTTTATCATTTTGCAACACAATTATAGCAGCTAAAAATACTATTGAAATGTTTTGTATATTTAAATTAGGCCAGAGGTTTGTTTATGCAGTACCACAATTTCTCCTCAGTCACAGAATTTGACATAGCAATTTTCACTTATATATTATAGCACTTATTTATCTGTATTTATAGGGGAACTGAACAATATGAAAGTAAATTAATTAATGTTTGGGAAGCACTACGGTCCTAGATTAATAAAGCCCACTGAACATACTGCAGATACAGATTATTCATCTTCTGAGATGCACAACATGAACACTGGAGAAAGAAAAGACATACAAACTGCTCAAACACCAAAGATACTCAAATACTAAAAAGCTTCTGATGGAGCACTGTCTACAATGAGGAAGGAATTAGTAGGAAAATATGCAGGAGAGCACCCTCCTTCTGTATATTCACATTATGCACAACAGAGCATATTATTAACCTTTACCTTTTTTTTTGCAAGCAAAAGCCATGGTGGCAGCACAGCAGCTACAAGCACATATTACTGTTCCCTTAGTATGCTTTAAAGAGAGAAATAAAGACATACTGGAAAAGAATCTTGGAAAGTTCTGTGGTGTCATACCTTGTAAATACACAAAGCATTTTTCCTCTTACTGAAAACAGAAAAAACAGATCATCAAAAGAAGTGAGTTGAAGAGGGATAAATTTAAAACACAGCATCAAATCTTAGTAGGTTAATGCAATTACATTTTGCTCCTGAAATACTTTACAGTGTCCTCTGTCATCCATCCATTTTTGAAAAATCAGCAAAACCCAACCAACAATAAACTGAGTAAACAAACAAACAAAACCCCCTCCAAATAAAGCAAATGAAACATACCCGACTACATCCATGAAACAAAACTGCTCCTCAGGGTAGATCCACCTGGTAATATTTTTAAGACCTTAATCACCTTAGAAACTTACTTCACTCCCTGTGGTATTTGCATAACCTCAGTGGACAACTATTCCAAGAATGAAAGATAAAAATATACTTTGGAAGTAAGTCTCAGTTTATTACCCTTCTTTTACAAAAGTTTGCATGTGCGTATATACGTACATATAATTAGATGGAAGGAAGAAATGCGAAAGCACCAGAACAGATGAAGTTATTTCATAGAGATGATTTTTCTTGTCCAAAGAATATTTTTTGACGTATCAGAATTTACTTATTTTACACTATTGCACTGAGACGAGTTAAGTACCTTTTGCAGATTATGAACTTGAGACTTAACATTGCTACCAGAAAAATCCCAGAAGGAAAAAGCTAAGTACATTTCCTAGCTTCAAATCACCTTTCCTCGGGATTATTTGGGGTGCAGATTTTCAGTCATTTCCCTAAAGCTAAACTAAATACAGCAAACAAAGCTCAGTGAGGGACAGAAACACGTGAGAGATCACTTACAGTCCTCGCAGAAGCAATGCAGGGAAATTTCCCCAATGCAGGGAAAGCCCAGATCCTGGAGAAGATTCTGCTTGTACAACATTGAGCTCAGCAGCTTTTGGTGAATTTACCTTTATTAAAATTTTTTTCTCAGAGAATTTGTGGTGGTGCCTCTGAAATCAGCTTGCTCAGGACCTTAGGTAACTTCTGCTGAGTCCTCCAAGGGCACAGGCTCAGGCACTCAGATGACATGCAGAAAACCTGAGTTTTCTAAAGCAGGGCAGGTGTAGCTCTCCCAGCTGTCCTGCACTTAGGTGGGTATTCATAGTCACCTTATGTGTCATCATTGAAAAGCATTCTGGCTTCTCTGATTTTGACCTGGAAAAATATGCTTGAGAAAGGATCTCACATTTCTCTGGAGACTTCTAGTTTTTGAAAGTCATCTTACTCCTCCCAGAAAAAAACCCTCAAACAAATGTTTTGCTGAAATTGCTTCATCCACTAAGTTATTTGCCTGGAGACTGCTCTCAAACTAAGAAACCCTGCCACAATATCCTATAAAAGGCATAAGATTGTCATAGCTCTGAAGGACTTATGTCAAGCAGCCTGGGACTGCAGGATGGGGGACACTTGAGACCTGAGAAATAGTCTTGGGGCAGAGCACATTGCTCAGCTTGAAGGAGGCCACCATGAAAATCTATCCAGAAGTCACTGTCATTTACACTGTAGCAGTAAATGCAGCACCTCAAGCTGTAATGGTTAATATGAAATGATTCGATGATTCTCAGCAAAGGTTAGAACACAATCTTCTAATTTCCACAGAGACGAACAGTGTATTAGCAGATCAGGCTGTTTGCTTCCTGTAACTGAGAGATGCTAAAGAGCTTGCTGCTCTTTTTCTGGTAATTAGTAAATTATAAATTCATAGATGGCATCTGATATTATTATCCAAGACAATTAATGTCTATGTGTTTGTTATTTTATAATATACTAACATAAAACTTCCAATGCCACATAAACCAATTTATTTCACTTCCACTGGTTATTTTTTACTTCTACTGCAGATATAAAGTAGAGACTGTGAGGAAAGCTCTCATTGATGAATTTCTATCCTTAAGGTTATAAATAAACTTGATAACTACTCTCAGTCCATACTGGCAAATTAAATGTAGTTCTACATCAGTGGAAACAAAGGAGCTCTTGTCTTCTAGGAGCTCATTTGTACTTTTTGTAGCTCTGCCCCCACCTTGGCCTATCCCTTGGCCTCAGCTGGTGTAAATCAGTGCTGCTGTCTTTGACATCAGCTTAGCAGTAATGATTTCTGCCAGCTGAAGATCTCTGGGCCCTCATGGTATTTTTGTAGCCTTATCTTTCCAGAAACAGAACAGTGGTTCCTTAGGTTGTCTTTCCCCATCAGAGGCTGTAACCCCTAAATTGTATAGGGAGCCTCACCACTGCCCTCGAAACAAAGCAGATTCTCTGCTACTCTAGCCTCCCTTCTCTCCCTGCCAAGCAATGACATTATGAGCTACATCATTTCCATGAGGAAGGTTCAGCACCCACGTGGGAGGAGTCCCTGAAGCTTTGAGCCAGAGAGAAGGTGTTTTGCACATTGAAGCAAAGCACTACAGCTGGATCTGCCCTGGGTCGGCCTCACCTTGAGTCCTCTGTGCAGTTTTGGGCATCACAATATAAAAAAAGACATTAAGCTATTGGAGAGTGTCCAAAGGAGGGCCATGAGGATGGTGAAGGGTCTGGAGGGGAAGCCTTATGAGGATCAACTGAGGGCACTTGGTGTGTTCAGCTGGAGAAGAGGAGACTGAGGGAGACCTCATTGCAGTTACAGCTTCCTCAGGAGGGGAAGAGGAAGGGCAGGCACTGAGCTCTGCTCTGTGAGAACCAGGGACAGGACCCCAGGGAATGGTCTGAAGTTGTGTCAGGTGAGCTTTAGTTTGGATATTGGGAAAAGATTCTTCCCCCAGAGGGTGGTCGGGCACTGAACAGGCTCCCCAGGGCAGTGGGCACAACTTCAAGGCTGTCTGAGTTGAAGAACATTTGGACAACACTCTCAGGCACATGGTGTGGCTCTTGGGGTGTCCTGTGCAGGGCCAGGAGCTGGACTCAATGATCCTGATGGGTCCTTTCCAAATCAGCATATTCTGTGACTCTGGTCTCTCCAGGAACTTCCCTCAGTAAGGATGTTCCCGTGTGCTGGTGGATAGAGGAGCTGCATGTCAAGCCGGGAGGCAGCAGGGTTCTGATTCCATAAGGAGCAATTGCTGTTTCTTCTATATGCATTTTCAAATGACACAGCAATTGATCACAGAAAGAACAGCACATAAAATTGGCTTTTAAATGACCCGAGTACAACAGCTTCAGGCTCAATTCCTTTTATAACTCTACCCATGATTAACTACTGTTCATGAATCAAAGGATAGTTAACAGGATATAAATTAATATTTTCTAATTAATATTTTGTTTATATATTTTTATATTAAAAACAACTATTCTAAAATAATTTTCATCACATGGTTTCATATAAAATAAGGGAACAGAAGAATCAAAAAACAAAACAAAAGGCAGAGAATATAAGTATCTGTCTTCATTTTAGACAGGCTGCAGTTTGACCATCACAGAAGCCCAGATTTCATAACTACTGTTTTGCTACATGATACCTGAGTCACCAGAGTGAAATCAAAACCAATCTCTCTCCATGTCCAGCCATTCATCAAAATGTTTTTATTTTATTTAATAACAACTGAAACAGTCCAATATTGTCTAGCAGAATATATTTCTGGGAAAATGCTAATCTGGTTAAAATCACAGCTTCCTGTTAATTTCAAAGAAGAGATTTTTTTGTTTATAGTAATTTGTTTTTTTTCAACTCTATGTTTGATGTATGTTTCATAATTAAAAATGAGAAGACAAAATGTTTGCTTTGAGTACAGTAATTCAAGTTACTCAAGATTTTTTCAAACATATTGTTTTATAAAAATAAGAGGTCTATAAAATGCCATGCAGAAATGGTTCATTTCCTGTGAAGTGAAAATTTCTAATTTTGATCTGTCTTCAATAACCAATGGAGGTCTCTAAAAGTAAGATGAAAGAGAAATAAGGTTGTATTAAAAAAAAAAAAACACTGATGCTCTAAACACACTCGAAGTGTCTGGTCCTCACCTGCAGGAAAATTAACTATTTGTATGCTGGACTGTTTGCTTCATCTTTGTACTTGAGACAAGTACATTCCAAAATCCAGAATATCATGTCTTTTTCAATGGTTTCATTGTATCAATTGCCATTCCTCCTTTTGGCCCCCCACTGCGATCTCCAAAGTGCTTAAAGTACTCAGTTTTTGTTCAAGGTTCTTTTAACTGTAAGACAATAATAACAAACAAACAGTTTCAAAAAATGGCAGAACAATCTCCCTTCCTACAGGAAACAAAAGAACTTCATTCTGATTGACCAGTTAATAGTCAAGATCAGGCTGAGGATTGTAAGTCAAATCCAAGATGTTCAAGTCTTACCTACTTAGAGGACATTGGGAAAACAATCCCGACTTCACTAATTGGATCCAGCATTCAGTGATGGATGACTCACCACCAGGTTAAGGAACTTTCACAGTCAGTAGATGACTTCTACACATGTTTCAGCAGAGCAAGCAAGGGTATTTAGTTTACAAAGTGCAGCTATTTTTTCTGTGTAGCTGAAAAAAATCCATTCACATCCATTATGGCTTTGCCTTTAAATATTATCATTAGGGGCACAGAACTGGAAGTGGCCCCCTGGGTCACTGCAACTAGATCCTGATTATGCAGAGCTGAGTTACTGAATCCTTTTCACAAACTACCACAATATTAAAGACAATAATGATTTTTACTCTCACTAACACTATGCAGAATTTTAACTTAGCCCTCAGTCTCCCATGAATAAAATTAAGACAGATGATTTAAGTTGCTTCTCCTTTTCCTGGTACTCTGACTCATGACTTCCTAATCCTCTGTTAGCAACTTAAAACATATATTCTTCTCTGAGTTGTACATATTCATGCTGTACATATATTATTATTGTACACACTAATCATATACATAATTATTCATGCATTGCATATTAATCAATTGTAATTATTTCTAAAATCCTAAATTCACAAATGCTTAGTAACAAATTCCATTAAGTAAACTAAAATAGGTTTTCTCTCCATTATCATGGAAAGGGAGTGAAAAAATACAGATCCACATTGTTGACAGGGGTCTCTGTCAAATACTCTTTTATGGACAATATCAATTGTAATGTTCAAAATGAATTTAACCTGTTTTCAGTCCACCTGCAACCCTTCTACCTGGCAGTGGTTTTACAAAAAAAGATTATTACACGTGGATTAATTGTAGATTTGATTTAGCTCCACAGTGGGAACTCAGGCAGGTGGACTACAGTTACAAACCCTGTAATCCTTCACCCTGAAATCACTTCAGGGCTGGAAGGCTTATTCCAGCAGGCAGCTGATCCCTCCTCTGCCTTCTTCTGCAACAAGGATTCATCAAGCAGCTTCACAAGCACAGCAATGAAAGTTCATGCATAGGCAACATACAACTTCAAAAATCTTCCCATTTTCTCAGGGTGTGTGGAAATGCTCCTGCCAGAGAGTGTTCAGTCAGCTTCCTAAAACACACCTAAATGCAGTGGACAAAAACTTGGAAAGTATGTCCGCAAAGCAAATTTTTTTAAAAAGCCTGCTAGTTGTCACATGATGGACACCTAAAACAGAGCTTCTCAACCCAGGCATTAAAAAACCTGACCTGTTCAAAATGAAGAACCACTTTGGGAAGTACAGCAGCAAACAAATGCCAGTTTATTTTCATTCTTCTTTATTGGAGAGTGGGGGGAAAATAAAAAACAAAAAACCCCAACCAACAAACCAACCAAAAAACCCCACAAAACTGGTCAGGGATGACATCTTTTCCAGAAGAATAAAAAAGCAAAACTATGTCCTGCATGGCTTACTGTCTTAAAAGTCAGGAAAAAAAAAGAGAGAAAGTAAGTAATATTTTAGTGGGTTTGGATATGACGCTTTGCTCTGAATTGAAGAAGGATATCAAGAATTTTAAAGTCAGCTCCTAGGTATCATAATAATAATTAGAATAATCATCATCATCATCATCATCATAATGTGTCTGTTTACTAGGACCAGAAGCTCCAAGAAGACCTTCCATGTAATTTTTGTGCAGTTTAGTTTCTAATCCCAGACAGTCTAACATAGGAACTTGAGAATGAAGTGTGAGGCAACATTTATGGTATGAGATCACACACTCTTCAGGCAGATGCACCACATTCAGTAGGGGCAGAGCAGAGAACCCAGGACATGGATGGAGGATGTCTGTTCAGATAAAACAGAAGAGCTGAGCAAGTAATTCACATGATTTTAAGTGTTCAAATAATTACATCCTTTTTTATATGTAACTTCTGCTGTGTGGCAGTTTGAGCCACATTAGAAATACAAAATCGAATTTCCAGACTTCCCCCCACCCCTTCCCACAATTTATCCCAACACCGGAGAGAAACTTTCAGGCCAGAGGCTTCTATAGGGGGAAGGGGAAATATATACATTTATTTACACAAATAAATACTATACAAACTAAAGGCAACTATATATATATTACATTTCTATCAGTCCTTTTAAGCCCCTCCCTTTAACTTTAGTCCAGGAAGAGCCTTTCAAGGCTGCTGGGTAATGCAGTCTCTCTCTCGTGGGAGTGTTCTGGACCCCTGAACACTCCCTAACCAACCTTCACCTGTTTGCTGCAGTCTTTCTCCTCACGAAGTCCAAGAAAGTAGCTTTGAGTCCTTTCTCCTTGGTCTGCTGTGTGATCTCTCTCTCTCAGTCTCATATCTCGGTTTGCTGTTGCTGTAGTGTAGCTTATCACAGTAGGTGTTTGGAATCTTCATTCCTCCGAGTCAGTTTTCGGCTGTCTGCGGTCAAGCCTTGGCAGGGCAACTCCCGAGCCCTTGGCCCGTCTCCAATTTCGCCTGGGATTCTTCTCCCGAGCATCGAGCTGTTTTATTATCAGCCCGTCCACTTGGCTCTGCTTCAAATGCTGAGCCTCTCCTCCACTTTACAGTGGAGGGAAAGAAAAAGGCCCCCCTCCACAGCTTTAACTGCAGAAAGGGGGGGGGAAGAGGGCTTGACTGCAAGGCCTGCCTCTCTCCTCTTACCTCAGGTGCTGTGAGTCGCGTCCCTCACAAACACTCCAAATGCTTCCTCTAACTCTGGCCTAGGCAGAGTTGGGGGCTGCAGGCCTCCCCCTCCCCCCTGGAAGGGAAAGGAAGGAGCCCAGCCACCCCCTGGCCTTCTACACCTACATGCAGCTGACACCAACAGAACAACTGCCAACAACTTCCGGTGCTGTGTATATGTGATTTTTAGCAGCAGCGAACAAGACGAGCGGTGATTGTCCCTCCAGGGAACACTGCCCTGGCACCCAATCACCTCTGAGCCCCCGACTCCCGGGGGGGCAATCTCAAACCATGACACGCTGCCATGACCTTGACAATCTTTTCCTCACTTCATAACTAAAACTTTCCAGCAACTATTCCCCTTCAGCTCCTCCAAACCTCCAGGGATTTCTTCTCCCACATTTGACAAGAACGCTCTCTATAAATGCAGTACCTCTAATTGCAACTGGAGTTGCAAATACAGATTTTATAGAAGGAATGATTCCCTAATTTCCCAAGTTTGGCCTGGGTCACAGCTGATCCAGTAGCTCCTTTTAGACCTTTGCTAAGCACCATGTCTGCGGATAGACAAGACTTTTTCAGAAGTGATGATTTATATAAGTAATATACACAGCGACCACTGTGGTTAGTTTCATAAATTATTCAATTTAAGGAAAAAGTACATGTTCCTGGTAGATAGATTATGAGGTTAGAATCTTGTTTTTGTTCCATACAAATCCAGAATGTACTAAAATTTTCTTGAGGTAGAATTTTGTCAAAATAACTTTTATCAAATTAAAAGTATTGTGCTTTTTAACAGTTCCTTGCCGCCTATTTACTGTGTGTAAGTCTTTCCTGTAAAAATCAGAGAGAATACTTCACTTCAAAAATTACAAAGCTGACAACGGCTTTGATCAAACAACCTGAGAAATATTTTGAATATGATTAAATAACATACTGTGAGAAAAGTTTATCTATTTGATAGTGTTCCAAATCTGCCTAAAATTTCTCAACATCAGTAATTTCAAAATGTCTGAAGATTCTTCTGTTGGAGAAATCTTCTCATGTCAATGGTTCCTGAATTCTGTCCCAGTGATTTCAGCCCTCAAACCAAGATATTTAGCCTGCCTTGTTTCCAATTTAAAACCACGTTAATGTACCATATATATAAAGCTTTATGAATCAATCTATAGTGTTGTTTTGAATAAGAAAGGATATGTTTTTTCTGTTTTAATATGCAGTTACACCATTGTTTGGTAAACAAGGTGAAAACAATAATCCAAAAACTGATTAAACATCAACTCCTCACCATGGATATGCTCAGGAAAGGAGTGTATGTACCCTATATACACACAGAAGGAGGAGCAGAAACTCTAAATTCCATCTAAATTCTATTTCCCTTTTAATTTTAACTCTTAATATTTACATATTGTATTGAAATAATTTCACTGGTAAAGAAAAAATTGGCCCAAGATTCATGAAATAATATTTAATGGAGTTTCTCCAGAATCCTCCTGTCACAGCTTGAACTGAAGGTGGTTTTACTGTCTGGGTTTTCAATTAAATCCCTCTGCAGAAAGCTGGATGCTGAGATTCTGCCCTAACCCTCATGGTTCCCCAGGACTTGGTTTGATAGAGGAGACCATCAGAGGTATCAGCATCCAATGATCAATGTGTTTCCCATCTCTTCTGTTAAGTGTTGCCTTCTTGAAAATATTCACATTTTTTCCTTACAATTCTTACTGTTTTATGTGGTTAAATATGTCTCTTTTTAGAAATGCAACTAAGCTTCAGGGAAAGTAGAATGGACCAGCCCTATTCAGTGTTAATACAGAAAAGGTTTTTTACTTCCTGCACCTGAAGTCAGGGAGAGATAAAAAGATTTATTTGCTTAGTATTCAAATGGTAAAAGAACTTGTCTTATCTTGTTCTTGCTTAGCTTAAAGCTGGGTTTCTAACATCGCTAAAGAACAGGAAAGAGAAAAATGAAACTGGGATTACAGCCAGCTCATGGGACTAGGGCAATGCTCTGTTAGGGTGAAAAAAGTCCATTTCCATTCTCCCTTTTTTCCTGGTGAATCAAAGGCCCTCTGATTGCTGGTGTCACGTAATACTGATCAGAAAGGAATTAAGTGGCCAGTGAGAATGTTCATTCTATCAAAGAGCTGGCAAATTGCATGATTTAAAAGCTCAGAGGTCAGTGTAAATCTCCATATCAGAGGCAGCAGAATGGAGGGAGGGGAAAAAGGGCTGGGGGAATCTATTACAATCAGCTCAATCCCTCACATCCAGATTTCTGTGGAAAAAGACATTAATGATCCCCTCTCACTTTTCAATCATGCTGTGTTCACCATCTACTTTTTCTTACAAAGACTTCACTTTTTTATCCCAATTCAGTATTTTGTTTCTAATCTCATAATGATACAGAGCCCAGCCTGAAGATGAACTGAATCCACTATAATAGCTGCCTCAGCTGCTGCTATCTCTCATTAAAAGATGATTCACAAAACCCTCCTAAAGAAAGATGTTTGTCATCCCAAGAGTTCACCAGCAATTCACTCTGCTTCAGATCCAAGCCTTCCTGGGCAGGGTAGAGAAAGGATGGGTGAGGGCTAATCTAGGAGACTGCTAGTCCTGTTTTGCTCTTTTGGAGCTATGAAGAAAGAGTCAGAAGAGTTGCAGTGCAGATCACTTATGACAAGCAAAGGTCACACATACATATCTGACCTCCTCCATCCTTTTTTCCACATGCAAACATATAGTAAAAATTATTTTCTTTCACCTGGAATTTTGTCTTTTCAACCAAAGGGTTTTACATGCTGCCTAGAATTCC